TAACGCCATCCCCATGCGTGATGATATGAAGATGGAGTCCTGGGCGATGCGCGTCACCGTCCAGCGCCGCCTTGGGCTCCCCCTTGATGTCGCCTGCCAGGCGGTGGAGGCAGGCAAGAGGGCACCCAGCGGCCAGCTACACGACGTCCTTGGCGACGCCGCGATGGTTAACCCTCGGTCAAAGCATGCTACAAGACACAAATTTCTACTCAAACGTTTGGTCAAATGCCTCCGCTCGGCGTGGGGCATGATCATCGAGATGGAGCCGACTGCACACCTCAGTTACAGTAATCCAAAACAACCTGACGTGGCGGCGGCAAACATCGGCAGGGGGCACAGGCGCCTTGTTGCCGATCTGAAGCTTACGAGTTCGCTCGCGAGCAACAGCAAGGGCAAGGATGGAGAGGGTGAAATTCGGCTCGGCTGGAAGGGGGCCTATGTGCGCTTTGGCAACACGGAGACCGGGCTGCTCAAGTTGGTCAAAGGGCGCGGCAAGTGGTCTCCGTCGGAAGCGACGGCAGCGGCGGTGGCGGGGGAGGAGGAGGAGGCCGAGGAGGAGGGGGTGGAGGGGGAGGAGGAGGACGCCCCCAAGGGAAAGCTCAAGGAGCAGCCTGGCGATTACCCCTTTGCGCGGCAGCAGGATTGCGATCTACGTTTGTTTGATTTTGAGGCTTTCGGAGGCTTTGGAAAGGAGGTTCGCAGCACCCTGAGGGAGGCGGCGAACCAGCTGAGCAACAAACTTTCGCACGCTCAGCACCTGGACGAGGTCACATGGACCACCAAGAACTGGCACGGGCTGCAGATGCAGCGCTTGTCTGTCGTCCTCCACACCGCCGTGGCGTGGCAGACGGTGAACGAGCTAGCGTGCGGGGAGAGCGGCATTGTGCATGGTGCGGAGTGCATTGCCGTTCTTAACGGAGTCGCTTAGGCGGCTCCGGTGGTGAGCCTGTGTGTGTGCCAGTCCGCGCCAGTCTGCGCCCTTGTCGTGCCAGTGTGCTGTGAGAGAGGCTTGTTCTTAAGAATTCTTTTTCCAGAAGCCCGATGAGCTCTCTTCGCGGTTCGGCGGCGTCGGACGGGAGCGCAGACGTGTCGTGCCGGACAGAAGACGCTGGCGACTCTACGACGCTGCTCTACTCGGTCATTCGACTCATCTTTCGCGCCACCGGCTTCGTCTTCTACGCCACGACAGAGTGCCATGGCGTCGAGGACTTTCCGGCGGCCGGCGAGCCGACGCTGCTCTGCTTCAACCACGGCAACGGGCTGGCCGACCCGCTCTGCCTCATCAAGGCGACGCCACGGATGGTGCGCTTCTGCGCAAAGGACACGCTCTGGAAGGTGCCCATCATGGGAACCCTTATCCGCAACTCCGGCGCCGTCCCAATCTACCGGCAGCGCGAGCACGGCGACCAGGCAAAGGACCGGAATCTGGAGGTGTTCCGCACGGTGATCGAGGTGCTGCGGGCGGGAGGATGCCTCGGCTTCGCGCCCGAGGGCGTCTCGCGCTTCCTGCCCTACATGGAGCAGCCGTTCAAGACCGGAGTCGCCAGGCGAGGGCCGGCCGCTGCGAACGCTGCCCGCCCCTGGCCGGCGACTCAGCCCCTGCGCTTGGCCTTGGGCTCCCGGGCAATCTCCCAGCCGCTCCCGCCCCCTCCCCTCGTTCAGCGAGCCGCCGTCAGAGCCCTCCTCTCTCCCGCTCCCCCTCCTCGCCGCTCCCTGCCGCCGCCCCACTGCCCCTTTCTGCTGCCCCTTTCCACTGGGC